AGTGGTAGCATCCTCTTCTACACACAGTCCCTGTTATACTCTAAACACAGAAGCCATGTTAGGTTGCAAGGTCCTTATTAGGTCCTTCAAATTTTCATTTTCTTTTGTTTAGTTTTTGGCGGCTGTTCCCCCATTTCTGCCCTCACCTCTAGGTCTTTAAGATTCAACCCTGACCTAGAATGAATATTTACATAGAAACTCTCAAAAAATGAGTTTGTAGTGTCAGACCACCATGTCACAATGCCACTTAAGTGGCTGCGTTTAATGTAGCGATCAGTTGTAATTGCTTCTTTTGATATTATCAAGATACAATGTTTTCGATTAAAATACTGAAATGATAACATTTCATGTATGAATTTTCTTGGAACTTATAGCACATAAGAAATCTTCATGTCATCAGGAATTAACAACTACTACATCTATGACAAATAAAAGCATCAATTAATAAATTAATAAATCTCTTCAAATGGTAGATATTACAAAAATGAAAGTTTCCAAAATTGAGGAGTGTTTTTCTCAGGTTTAGAGGTCGGAACAGCACATCCATCAGTTTCAGGTTTATGTGAATTGGCTTAGTAAGTGTTCACAGAACATCTCCATGTTGAGAGGTACACAAGAGAAACTGCCTGAGCTTTTTAGAAAAGACTCTTTTTATCCCCTTTTCTGAAAAAATGTGTTGTAGAATGTTTTTATAAATAAATCAGTCTTAAATGCCCCTAGACATTTTTAAGCTAGTTCATAATGCTTTGTTGAAAATCTAGAGCCAAGAGGTATGATAATCTAAATAAAATACTTCTGGCTCAGATAGGAAATAATTCTTGCCTAGATTTAGCAACATGGAGTTGTGATTTGACTCACAGCTACTCACCTAGAATAAGAGTCATTTTCTGTTTATGAAGGAATAGATGTATACAGAAGAGAAATAACCCTCAATATCTAATGGAACTAAAATTAACACCCTGCGATGTAACTTTACAATTACCTGCTAGCATAGGTTGCAATGACATCTTGAAAAAGCTCCAGTCTCTAAACAGTAAGAATTTTTTTTTCTGGCTGTGTTGATTATAGATTCTTTGACTTCTCTCATCAGTAAAGCAAAGGTGCAAAACTCAACAGCATTTGCTCCTAAAAGTTGATCTCCCAAATCTGTATGAAACTAATAAGGAAGCTGTTTGTGAAAGCTCCTAGTGTAAGCAACAGGAAGTGTACCTACTACAATAAATCATGACTCAAAGGCTCAGCGATGATTGGGTGTTACTAAAGCTCTTCAGAAGACTTTATCAGATTGGAGCAACAGTGGCTGTCTGCTCTACCAGCTGCCAGAAAGTACATCTGTAGGAAAAAAAACAATTTACCACAGAAGAACTGGGTTTTATTTATCTGTATTGAATTTGAAACCCAGTCTCCAACAGTTCAGAAAAATAGAGCTTAATACTAAAACTGTCTCAGTACGTTTTTGTGTAACAAACATCACAAGGAAGTACTAGGTTAAAGGAGTAAGAATAAAGATTGTGCTCAAAGGGAATGACCTGTAGGTTAAATAAAATAATGAGCGTGGCTGCACTAAGTTAGCAACAGCATTTGACAACAAAGAATCCTGTTCAAGGATGTCCTGGGCTGTTATCTTTACAATAGCTCCTCATATCTTATTGTTCTCCACATATTACAAGGTATTTCAAACATATTATAACAGCCACAACCCTCTCTGCCCCAAGTCTTACACCAGGAAACCAAAGATGAGATTAAAAAGAATGCACAACTGTGAACACATGTCATATTTCTAGAAAGATGTTTTGAAATTTCTGTCAGTCTCATTTTCTTGTTCAAAGGTGATTCAAATTTTTCCAAGTTCCCTGAAATGACATGAGTTCTTGGTTATGAATAATCTTGTTCTCTTGATTTTTAAAAAAAATTTTAAACACATAATCCAGAGTTTTTCAACTTTGACACTATTAATGTTAGGTGGAATAAGTCTTTGTTGTGGGCCGCTGACCTACGCACTGTGCAATTTTTAATAGCACTTTGGTTTCCGACCCAGTAGATGCCAGTAGCCACTATTGTCTCCACTTATATAAACTATAGGTATCTGCAAATGTTGCCAGATGTCCCTTGCATAGCAAATTGCTCTTATTTGAGAACCATAGTTCTAGATTGATTAGAGGCTGTGAAAGTTAATAAGGCAGCTGTTTTGATTCACATAAATTCTTATACAAAAAAAATCCACATTAGGTATAAAAAATTTTGAAAGAATTGTTATTTAACCATCTACTTTCCACTTACTGAACAGAATATTGTTGAATCTTTTGGATGTCAAGTAACAAGTTCCAACATTTATTGCACCACTGAGGCGAATGACTCTCTTCGGTATATTTTGAAAAAATTTTTTCTAACCTTTTTATTTTGGCATTTCTCTACGATTTGGAGTTCATTCTCATACACAGTCTTTCCAAAAGGTTATATTTGAGTCTCTCCTTCTTTTTGCCCTTTCTTTCCTGTAGCTAGGAAGAACAATAAGTTTTGTGATCACATCTGACTATAGTCACATTATACAGAACTCATGCTGAATCTTTTGATTCACATGTAGTTTTTCTTTCCTTTCATGAAAACAGAACTAGTATTGGCATAGCTTCTTACAAACTAGTCATAAAAGACAGATGTTCTTTTCTCAAATCAATATATATTGAGAAATAGCCTGAAAAAATTGTAAAATACTCTCAACTGGAAATAGAAGCTCAGCAAAGAAAACTGAGAATACACATTTGCAGAATTAAAATATATGATAAAAATTTTAAAAGGAATTAATGAGAATCAGCAGAAATAAATGTTAATCAAACTAATTTGAAATATGGGGAACTTTTTCAATCTTTGTACAGTATATGACCTTGAACAAAGCAAAAAGTCAACTTGACCTTTACAGAAATTTGGCAATACAGAGAGAGAATTCCAGCATTTAGAAATAATCAGATATTCTAATTTGGAGAAATTAAAGTTCTCTCAAGAATGAGTGTAACTGAGAATGAGGGGAGAAAGTAAAAGATGTCTTGAGTGTCCCTACTTGATAATAGCATCAGAGATATGTGAACTAAAAGTACATTTAAAGTAACTTCCTTGAATGCAGTAGATGTATGAAACATAACTTGGATCTAGGTATCTTATTAATTTTACAGTGGATCTCTAGTTTTGTTGCCCTGGCTTTCAGGTGCCCTGGAGGAAAACTTGCCCTAGGAAGTATCCAACTTTTATATGTCTATAAATTTTGTATTACCTTAAATCCAAAGCCCTTATAGTTATAGAGCAATTTTAGGTTAATTACAGCCCTAAACTCTGCAAATACTCATTTTATTACTGTTCAGTGCTAAGTTTGGGGCATTCTGGGGGCATAACATAAAGAACCAGAGAGAGTAGCAGGCCAAGATTTTGGTTTGGAATTTTGTAAATCCAAAGCAGAAAATAATTTAGATTTTAAAAACCAGAGATTTCTTTTGGATAACAGAAGCAAAACAATACCTAGTTTGCTTCTCAACCTGTGGGAGTAAGGTTAGATTAATGGACTATTTTTAAATTTACATACAAGATATTTATGGCAATTGTCATCTATCCCTCACTGTTCTCACCATATTATCATTAGCCCATTTTCTCTTTAAAACAATCCTATGAGACTCACATTATTATAATCCCCATTTTATAGATAAGAAAACTAGTGAGGTAATTACTGCTCAGGATCTTAAATGGGAAACCATGTTTCAAATATAGACATTCTGTCTTTTCAGTCTATGCCCTTACTTACTATATTCTGTTCTCTGAATCACAAATAAGAAATTTAACTTGACCAGCTCAAATCTGCTACCAAGAGCCAGCAGGGGGGAGTGTTCTGGATGCTTAGACAAGCAGAAGGATCAAAACTTGGAAAATCAATTTTATTGTGAGATCCAAGATTATGTGACCAGAACCTAAAAGAAGAAGAGAGAAGATTAGGAACCAAGAAAGACTAGCAAAAATAGTAACATAAGAGAGGAATGGCCAAGAAAAGATTTTCAATATTTACATATGGTGGCAACAATACTAGTCCCTGTGACATGAGTGGAATAGGCAATCTTAAAGTAATAAAGTGAGACTTGTGGAAAATGTGCCCTTGAGAATTTTCCTTTCCTTTCCCCCTGCCTTTTAGGGCACAGTGAGGATAGAGGGGAAGAAAGAAAACATAGCAAATGTGCTAATCCTGTCATGTTTTCTCTAACAATTTAAAAATTATTATTTATCTCTTATACCCTCTTTCCATCAGTGATTATTTCTCTTCCTTCTAAAACTGTTCATTTGATGAAAGTAAATCTTGGCTCTGATATATTGATATGGTAAGGATAGATAGTGAAAACAAGTTGAGATTCATGAAATATCATTCTTACCACAATATATGGAAAATGGATCTAAAATGCCTTGGTCTCACAAAAGGTGAGGTGAACAACAATAACTGGTCAATTGTATATGCTGCATAAACAAACTGGGAAGTGATCTGTAGGGACTGTTACACTGTTTTGTCTATATGTATATAATATTAAAATTTAAAGAGACTATGTGATTAATTAAAGGACGATTCGGCTTTAAATATAGTCCTTAATTGACACTGCTCTTTTAGATTCTCAGTTGACTGGGAAAAAGTATATAAAAAGATAGTGAAGTCAGGCTGGGGATATTGCTGAGTACAGAGCATGTGCCTAGCATGTGCAAGGTCCCAGATTTAATCCTCATGCACTACCAAAAAACAGAAAATGAGAAAGAAACAGAACAACGAATTCTACTATAGCCTGTAAACCAGCGAATTGAAAATACATCTAGGGAACTCTGGTAATATGCGATATGAGAGCGTAGGGACATATGAGGAAGATGGCCCAGATTTAAGGTTAATGTGTATTTTGGAAACAATTACAATTTTATCCATATCCTTGGGAAAGTTATAGATAAAAGATCAAAGACTTTTGAAAAATGTTTGTTCCATGCTTGCTACACCCATGGGACAATAATCTTGCCCAGAGAGTGGCCATTTAACTTCAAAGGTAAGTGACCTAATTGGCTGCCCTCGAAAACTTACCACACCTTCTTCAGGAAAACAATGTTGCTTCTTACTGAAAATGCTTCTACCCGGAGCACCAACTTCTTCCATATTCTATCACATATAAAACTTCAGCATCCAGGCTGGCAAGATAAAATCACAATAAATACAATTTCCTCCTCCTTTATCTCTCCTTGGCACAACCTACAGAGAGACATAGAGCCTCTTTGAAGAAACCATCTCAATTCCCAAATACTGGACCTACCACTGTGAAGCACAAATAGAAGGAAATCACTGGGATGAGAAAGGCTTCAGTAATTCAGAACAAGTGATACAATCTGAACAGTGAGAAACAACTGTTCTCCCTTGAAATAATATAAGATGAAAGGTAGGGGGTTAGAAAAAACTTATTTTCAACAAGGCCCAAGAGGACACTGACGCTATGAAAGTTAAAAAAGGCAGGGACAAAAAGCAAAACTGTGACCTCAGGAAAAAACTGTGTGGAAAAGTATGACTGAATAATTTAAAAAAGCAGTGGAAGCAGCAGAAAAGGGTGGTAATGTTACAGCCAACTGGAAGAATGCAAGAGAAAACATAGTTGATTGCCACTAAGAGAAAAGAGAATGGGGACATGAGAATAATAAGGAAAATCTGCAAGACATGGAGGAAATAATGATTCGTTAATTTATCAATTCATTTTCTCGAGCATCCACTATTGAAGGCACTACTGTACGCACAGGTGATAGGATGATAAGCAAGACAATGTCCTGATTTCATAGAGGTTAATTATACTGAGTGGCATTCAGAGTCATAAATTAGCAAATAATTACTTAATGTCAAATAGTATCAAACCAAAACAAGGCAAAGGTATCAATAGTAGTGTTGCCTAAGATAACTGCTCTGAGAAGGTGACGGCAGGCCAGATGAGTCAACAGCATAAGGCATGAAGTGTGTGAAGAGCATGCCAGATAAGAGTTTAGCGAGTTCAAAGACCAAGAGGCAGAGAAAGCAGGTGTGCATTTAAATAGTGGAATGATTGACAGTCAAATGCCAGAAGATGAAATTAGAACATTAGTTAGGGAAATATAATTTGCATTCTAGAGGATCATGTAATGTATTTGGACTTACTGCAAGGGTGATGGGAAGGAAGCTACTGAAGGTTTTTGAGCAGAACGATATGTATTGCTTTAAATTATTAACTTTAAATGTTGGAAATAAGGAATCATATATTTATCTGGTCCCAACCCCCCCTTTCCTTCTCTAAAAGAGAAATGAAAATACAAAGATTAAAAAATTGTTTACCTAGACCAATTGAGTACAAACAAGGTCAAGAGAGGGAAGAAGTAATACTTCCCTGAGAGGTTTTTACATATTTAGAAACAAATGCAAATAGAAACAAAGGGCCCAAAATGTACTTAAGTAAATAGTATAACTATTCTGAACAAAGATTGTAGAGAAAAATAATAGAAGTCACTACTGAACATGCATTTTGAATACATGCTTTGAGTTTAAAAATAAAATAATGGCAAGTGTTTAATTTTTAATAGAATTATTTTTAATTTGTAGTCAGTGTAACCATGTAACTATTAATGAAACTTCTGAATCTACTCTGTGTATATCACAGGATTGAGAAAATAAATAACACATCAAATTACTTATGTAACTTAATGTTTAATTAATGTATTAAGAGGTAAGCCATATGTATTTTCCTGTATTTTAGAGATGAAAAAAGACACAGACATTTAATGTCACACAACTGTCAAGTATTGGTGGCCAGAAGTAATCTGAATGTCTTCCTCCTGAGTCCTTAAGCTTTCCACTGCCATTCACTCAGTCCACATGATTATCAGTCCATTATTTATATTTTCAAGCTACCTCCTAAGCCTAATTTGAATGATAGTGTAACACAGAGACCATGGACTTTGGAATCCTACAGATTAGATTTCAAATCCCCATCTTGCTCCCTGTTGGATTTTGGCACTGGGCAGTTCACTTAATCTCTTTGAATATAGTTTTCCTCGTGATTTAAGGGAACGTAATAAAATCTTACCTGCTAGATTGTAGTGAAAATCAAATGAGATAACTGGACCCAGTGTGCTTGGCATGTACTTTCTGTTTACCTAAGAGAAAGAAATAAGGCTCCATCTTGTTAGTATGGTTAATATATCCAGTGCTGGGTGATGAATGGCTACTTTCCACACACTGGACAGAAGGCTGACTCCAGAACCAAAGAGCAGCAATTAACCTTGAAATAGACTCTTATCGTGTTTTGTATTATTTTGCTTAGCTTTTTAGTAGTGTCTTCTATGGATTCACTGGTCATTTTGTTTTTTAGGCCCATTGTCTGTTTAGTTATAACTTCTTTGGCTTATCAACCTTATTGACCTTTTAAAATCTCCTCTGTTTTCCTTTCAAATATTTCAGCTGTGTGGCTTTTGATTTCCTCCCTTCTGATACCCCATGGATCAGAAGTTTTGGGGGAGTTGGGAGTTTTGGAGGCATTTTGTTGCTTTGTCTTCTCATGTTTTTATTTTATTTTTTCCCCTGAGACTTGTGGAATGAGTAAATGTCTCCTTTTCAGTGATGACTTCTGGACATGGATTAAGCATTGACCTTTGCCTCTGTCCCAGGATCCATCCACCTCTGCTTATTTGGGAGGGGAGACTACAATGAATTTGGCCCAGTACCCAATTCTCTGTTAATGGGCTACAGTATTAATGACCCAAAGGCAATTCAGATATTACCCTCCAGAAAAAACAATTAATAGCAAAGCCATTTCACTTTGACTATAATAATAAAATTTGCATTAATCATATGTTAAGTACAAACTAAAAACTGACAAATGCAAAGGACCAATAATGTTTGCTTTAACCTTTGAAAAGAGATCTATAATTATATTACAAACACTAAGACAAACCAAATAGTGGCCTACAGTAAATATTTACTAAATGGAATTTAGTTTTTTCCCACTAACAATAGAACAGTATTAAACAGCTATAGCATAGAATGAACTAAAGATTTATAAAACTTAATAGTTATACAAGTAAAGGTAGAGGGGCTGGAGAACTGGAGGATGAAAAAAGTAAAATTTGAAAAACTAATTAATTAAAATTGAGAAGGAGAAGAGAAAAGTGAGATGGGGATCCTACTAAGCAGTAAAAGAAAATTGATAGTATCATAAAACAGTCACAGAAAAGAGCAAACAAGAAAAGAGAAAAACAGAGAGCAAAATACAGGAAATTAAATATAATAATGAAGAAAGAAAAAGATTAAAGGAGAAAAAAGAGAAGAAAAAAAGCAAGGGAGAAAAAAATCCACAACCTCCCAATGACGAAAGAAAGAGAAATAATGAAAACAATTTAAAGACTGAGTAAAAAATAATTCTGTGTTTTTGAATGAGTGGTATCTTTCTAGGGTCTGCAGTCTTGTAATCCAGGAAGTCATTTCATTCTCTACCTTTGCATTTTTGCAGTGCTCTCCCTTCACTAGAGGGCCCTCTGTTCGTTCACTCCAGACTGCGGTAATTGTCCAAGCTAAAGCACATCCTTGCTTATATTGGCAGTTGGGAAAAAAGCAATCAGTTCTCTGTTCTCTGCTGGATGTAGACTATGGAGTGGGTGTTCAAGCAGACTGTTGGACTGAATGCCAACACTTGATGGGCCTGATTTCTCATTACAAAGGGATGGGCCTGTATTCTTCACAGTCTGATCTTAAACTTCTCTGTGGAGGGAGGTATGTCTGACCTGCACCTTCTCTGCAGTGGTCTTCTGTCATTGTCTCTAACCCATTCACTTTGGGTGGCTAACACTAGAATCTCTAAAGATACTGGGAAGTTCTGGACTTTCTCCCTGGGCGTGCTGGCCCTCTGGGCATTGGCCTGGCCCAGGATCAGGTCAGTTGGTTAGTCTGTGCTTCTGCTGCCCCATGATAAGGGGATACAAAATGCAAAGCTGGAATTGGTGGATGGTTGCTACTGGGCAGTGGCTGGATGTATTGTCTCCTCTTCTGTTCTCAGGCATTGGCCTTGTCCACAATCAAGTTGGGTGATTGGTTGGTGCCTCTGCTCCTCCATGTAGGAGAAATAAAACATAGAGACAGCTAGGAGTTGGCAGGTGGCAACATCCAGAACACAGAATCCAGAGGCGCGGAGATCATCAGGGGCCAAAGGCATGGCTGCATCCTGTCTACTTGGGGCGGGAGGGGGGGCTCTATAATTTATTTCTGACGGTTCTTTTCTTATCTCTTCTTTCCCATACTCACTTTATTATGAAAGTTTGATTACTGCATGTGGTTACAATGAGGTTATCTGCTATGGCTGCCTCCTGAATAATGGTCAAATGAAAGGGAAGGGAAAAAATAAAAATATTTTGTAAATCTAGGATTCTACTCTAAAAATTCCTGAGCATGATGTATTTCTTCTACTAGTAACCTCAAGTAGGCCAGATTGGCAGACCGTTTAGTGTGACAACCTTACCAAAAGGTAGCTAAAGGATTCAAATAATAATTCTATTTCAGTGACTTGGAATCTAGCAACATGAATGTATGTGCAGGCATCATAAACAGCCTTTTGCATTACCCCTAGGGAACATGGGAGCAAGGAGAACTAAGGCATCTGTTGATGCTCACATGCCACCAGCTGCACTGTGAATAATAATGTCCTTTGCGTCTGACCTTCAAGTTTCATGTCCTCTACTAGCACTCATGAAACAGTAATGGATTAATCTATGAGCTTCCAACAAAAGCAAACTCAAATCTCAAATTGCCATGCACATGAATCTGATACTCACCAAAAGTTGAAGAGTACAGAATTTGATTGTAAACAACAGAGATTATAATGGTTCTTCTCTTGTTCATGAGGGATATGTTTCAGGACTCCCCAGTTGATTCCTAAAGCCATATGTAGTACCAAACCCTACATATATTACATTCTTCCCTATATATACATACTTATAATAAAGTTTAATTTAAAAGTTATGCACAATAAGAGATGAAGAAAAATAAGCCATAATAAAATAGAATAATATATTGTATATGAATGTGGTGGTCATTTCCTCTCAAAATATCCTACCATTCTATGCACACAATCCTTGTGATGGACTAAGATGATATAGTGCCTACAGGATGAGACAAAATGAGGCAAATGACATAGGCATTGTGACTTAATTGAACACAAGTACTGTCATACTGTGACAGTTGATCTGATAGCTGATATGCCTACTAAGCAACTAATGGTCAGGTAGCATATACAGTATGGATATACTGGATCAAGAAATGATTCTTATCCTGGAGAATGAACAGTGCAATGTAAAGATAATTAATGAATTGCTTATTTCTGGAGTTTCCCTTTAATATTTTCATACTATGAACCTAAATGGCATATAGAGAAAAATGCTTCAAAGATTATTAGGCTTATTTTGGAATAGCAGAACATTGCAACAAGGGAATATATGTGCCATAGCAAACTATGAGCATATGCAAAAAGGTTAAGAGTAGGGGAAGTTTTTAAAAGTAAAATGAGGATTACATAATATGCTTTGAAGCAGTAATCTTTGTCCATAGGGATCAATTGCAAAGGTGGTGTAAGTCCAAGATTAAACAGGCAATTTTTTGACAGATTCTCTGTTATATCTATGGAAAGTTTCAGTGGCCTTTCTACAAGGTTATGGATCTGACAGAATCTTTTGTGAAGATTTCTTGGTACCAGGCACATATGCATGAGATTCCTTTTCTCAATATGTCTCTCAATCTTATTTATTTATTTTCTTAGGACACGACAAAAAGGTCCCATTTTGTTTCTGACAAGGTTCACAGAACTGTAGTTGGCCATGGGTAACTGTAAGTATGAAACACAAAACCACAGAGAAGGGAGGAACAACTGTGTATATTCCCAGAAAACACAAACTATGCCTTTTCTTTCCTGAGATCACTCAAGTGCACTTTGATTATTCTAAGAAGTTTGTGCTGCTTGAATTTCAATTAACCGAATTCTATGTGAACTGTTATTTAAATGGAGTCCTTGCATTGCAATGATGAGATTCCTGGTATAGACATAATTTCTGATTTATTCAGACTAAAATATATGCATATCCAAGAAAAAATGTCTTTCTTTTCTTTAAACCATTATGACTATAGTTGGTATAATTTCAGTTTAATTTTTATTATAGAGATTGCCAAATTATATTTAATAACATCATTTTCTTTAATACAAGACAAGATTAATGAAATTAAGTTGAAAATTATCCATTAGTTACAGCATGTTAGTTTTTTATTATATAGCCATTTTATTAAAAGTGATTTCTATTAAAATGTTTGTAGTTAAAAGCAAGAAGTGAATTTTCTCAGCAAACTGTAAACTCGAAGATAGCTTCAGTGAACTTCTTATACTTCATCTTTTATTCCTACCATCTGCATTTCATTAGCTGAATATGTGTAAATCTGGTGAGATCCAAAAATACCATCTTACCATTTATTTCCAAAAGGGTAAATATTATTTTTAATATTGCAGTTAATTTCATCACAGCATGAAATTTCATCACATACGGAATTTCATCACGGTATCTAAAAAGGACGAGACAAATAGACAACAGTGCAAATTATAGGGGGTTTTTTGGGTATGGCAAAAAGGTAGTATTCCAAAATGTTCATTGATACTATGTTTGGCTGACAAAAGTATTTAGTTTCAGTGTGCACCTACTAGTAGGATATAGATTACTCCAGCTCTGTGTGTGTGTGTGTGTGTGTGTGTGAATAAGATGAATGGAAACTAGGTGAAAAGTATGTGAAGGAGTAAAGCAGTGAATTTCCTTTGCTGCTTTACTCCTCAACCATATTTTGAGGCCACCATAATCACGACAGTGTTTAAATACAGAAATTTACATATGTAATATTTATATTTTACCTTCTAAATTAATTCAAAGCTGACCCAAATGTAGACAAGTTTACTTATAATTAGAGTGTAATGTATGTATTTTATGAAAAGAAATGTTCATGCATCCAAGAGAGCTCTAGTTATGAGTTTGAGTGATAGGCACAATATTATTTCATAGAGAGAGTTTGTGCATAATTTTCATGACATGCTGCTCTGCACCGATGTAAGCTCAACTCATTTTCTCCAGTGAAATCTAGTATTAGAACCTGAAATAAGGCAGAGTGTACTGCAGCTAATGAAAAGTTAAACTTTTGTGTTCCAGTTATGCTTTGTTCAGTGTTCCCATTTAGTCACTAGTTGTAATACACTCTTTGCCAATTTCAGGTTTTTTTTTTTCTTTTTTAGTTTTACCTTGAAAGTACTAGAAAGGTCAAATCTCACGAGTCAATTTCCTATCCTTCCATAGTAAGTGGAATTCTGTATTGAATCTCTTACATATAAAAGAAGGTCAGTTTCACTGTAAATATCATGTCTGTCATTGAAACAAGACATTGCTTAGTTACTGACAGATGTAGTTATTCACCTACAGGGCTCCCTAGAGTTGTTTTCTAGTTTTAAATGTTAGTTATCTCCAATATGAACTCTGATGCAGTAACCAGAGTAAGAAATGAATTCAGCTCTGCAACCTAGGAGCGTATGACCTTTAGCAAATTACTCTGAGCTTGAGTTTTCCTATTTATAGAATAGGGTCTTAAGATAATTGTGAAAATTACATGAACTAGTGTACATAAATTACCAGACACATAGTAAATAAGTGACGATTATTATTATCTGTAATTTCTATTTTAGTTCCTTTGGTTCTCCTCAATCAACATATTCTTTTTCCATTGCTATCTAAAGAAATCTTGCCTTTTGTACATTCCATATCAAAATCAACCCTTCTTTTGAATATTTTCAAAATTTCCTGAGGTGGAAATGAAATCTCTATCTGGAGCCTTTCAATGTCTCCAACAGGTAAAAGGAAAATGGAAAGGAGTCATCCTGTTTAAAAATTACATACGTGTGTTGCTTTGTTTAGTATCTATTCAGTACCTAAAGCTGTAACCCATTCATCAGCCACTGGACCACTGAGAAGAGTGCATAGCATTTAAAGCAGAGTTTCTCATAGGATTGAATCAATATGCAATAGGTCAATGGGCATAGGAACTAATATGTGAGTCCTAAGTCTCTTCTCCAATTGTGTTGATATGATCTGTTCTTTGTTAATAAAATGTGTCATTGTCTATTTCCTATATATAGAATTTTAATATTTAGCATATCTAGTTCATTTTAGTGAAAATAAGAGCTAAGTCTAAAACTGTATGTGACAGAAATGCAAACAGGAAATAAATGTAAACAGGAAATAAAACAAAACAATGGTCATTTTATTATATTAAAACTAGTATCATTTAATCTTCAAAAGCACTGCAACTCTGAAGGCTTATAAAGACAATTCTGAAAACAAGCATTTATTTCTTCCATATGAGGTATCTTTATGGTAATTTCTGAAGGTGGCAAAAATGTTAGCTCTAGTTTTGGTATTTCTTCCACAATACATATTTGAGTTATTTTGGGTAGATGTTTTTGCCAGAAGACAGAAAATAATTTCTTCATATAAACCCATTTTTAACCACATGCCAATTGATAATGTTTCTCAATCATTTTTAAGGCAAGTTTGGAACTTGAACAATTACCTAGTGAATTTTATCCTGATATTTAGACTTTCCAGACTTCTGTTTTTCAGAACTTATGCTTGCTTCACTCAACTAATGATCCAAGAAATTGCTTCATGTTTTGAAGCAAATCCAAGGTTTGTGCAATAACTACATTTATTAAGCAATCAAAATTTGAAGTGAACTCAATTGAGCAAATATTTATTAAAGAAACTGCTATGTACAAAAAAATTTGCAATGCACTATGGTAGGAGCTACAGTTAGAGTATGATTTTATTCCCATAAAACAATGCTATAATAGATGTAACATTTTAAAATAAATATTAACAAGAATTAAAACTGATTTTGTTTTCAGTCAAGAATTTATTCCATTCAAGTTCACCACACAATCATGGAAATATTCTTCATATTTAAGTTTGGAAGCCATATAAAAGACTAACAGCTAATGAGTTGACCTGTTGTTTTGGTGGCAGAAAATACCAATGACCTAACTTCAGTCTTACGTGCTTATCTCAGACATTTCCAATTTGTTTCCTGAAATACATAAGATTGCTATTTAAGACTTTACTAAAATGATACTTCTTCCCTGGTAACACTTTCACTTCCAAGTCTTTTGTTTTTTATGCAAATTTGTTATTTTGGTATGAGTGAGAGGTGGTCAAGGAAGAGCTAAAGAAAGCCCCCTCAGGGCCACAGAATTATAAAATATAAAGGATAAGTCTGTGGTAACTGGGCAGTGGAGAATTCTGTGGAAATATGAATGCTAAGTATGAGTTATCTCAAATGAAGTGGGAATCACTGGGGGAGAGTTTGATTTTGGGAGGACAACCTGGCAGATGTGACCAAATTGGTAAGCAAAAAATTTTTAACTTCAGGCTTTCATTTGTCCTTATCAATGTTTAGAAGAGCTCATCTTTATATAGAAATTTTGCCAAGCCCACATTTCAAATATAGTACAATTATTTCCCTTTCTGAGGAAATTTCTGTGGGAGACACTCAGGATTAAGCCACACCGCCCTCTAGAGGATTTGAAAGTTCTACAGATGATCAATTGTCAGTAACTGTAGTGATTCATGTGGTCACAGTGTTGGAATTCAAACTAAGATAAAAAGCAACTGGCCCCTCAGATAAGTGTGGTCAACTAGGCATGCCTGAGTAATATGATGGCAAAAGCAGAAATGTCAGCCAACACCCTGGAAAGAAGAAAATTTGTGTACAAAGATCCCATACCTCTGCTATGGGAAACTTTTCTAAAGTAACTCACCATATAAAATAGTAATAGAAAGTAAGAATTTTTGGAGAGAAAGAGATAGTAATGAAGTGTGATAGACCTAGAGAAGGTGAACAGTCTGAGGGGGCTGGCCATGGACGTTTATAGTTCAGAAGACAAAGACAGTTGAGACAGAGACCCTACCAGTTATTGTGTGTTGTTAAAGGAGAAGTGAAGTAATGAGAAAAATGGCCATCAGAACAACTCCCGTCTAGCACTCCTGTTACCATCACCCCAGGGATCTCTTGAGGTCATGTTCAAGAGAGAAATTGTTTAAATAAATCTTTTTCTCATCTTTCTTTTCTTTTCATAACTCATTGGTAGTGACTATCCTTACCAAATAAGTATTCATTCTTCTACTCTTTCCTGGAAGATTTTGTGAAGCTATAGTATTTCTTCTGTAAAGAATTACTAATTAATTACTAATCCAATACTTTTTGTTGTGGACATATTTATATTTTTTTCTTGAGTTGATTCTGATAATTGTGTATTTCTAAGAATTTGCACCTTTCCTCAAAGTTATCTATTAATACAGTTTTTTATAGTACTTTCTTATAGTTCTTTTTGGTTTCTGTAGGGTTAGTAGTGATGTTCCATATTCTATTCCTGATTAATTTTTGTCTTTCTCCTCTTTATCATTGGCTCTCTGGGGGGAAAGTTTTGTTGAGCTCCTCATTCCACAACTCCAGAAAAACTACCATGTATTTGATTCACATTGTCAGACAATATAATCCTTTCTAGATGAACAAACAAAAATTATTCAAATAAACTCTATGGGAGGGTCATGGACATAGTCCTGGATATTAAGCAACCAGAATCAAAAAAGCTGGGGAAAATGCCTCATTATTTCAGAGGATTGTGGCAACAGAGAACAAATGTCAAAATTTCTGTAGTGGTTGTCATAAGCAAATAAATGTCTCCTGCTTTTTTACTTGCCTGATGATACAGTCTTCCTGCATATGGTACCACTTCAAGATGCTCGCTTCTGATTCATAGCTACTTGATAGAACATGGGTCGCATATGGCAACCTATTTGGAAAAGAGGCGAGAGCATGTATTTTCACATTATAGAGAAAGTTAAAACAGAGAGGGTTGAAAGAGATGCTGAGTGAAACAACTTACATTTTGTGCCACGATGACTTCACAGAACCTGACCGCTTCACATTCTTTGGACCTCATCTGGCAACACTGACCTCAATGACCGCATGCTCCAGTCATACTGCCTCTTTTTCTCTCTTTCAGCTCAGAGAACTTGCACTTTCTATTCTTTCTGACTTGAACTCTCTTACCTTACATTTGGTCATGACTAATGCCTGTACATAAAATGCCTTATCCTCAAAGAAGTCTTCCCTACTCATTCTGGATAAAATAGCCATGTTGAACTCCTGACCTAGACTTTTATCTTTCTTTTTTTCATCCCATTTTATTTTATTAACATGAAGTTCTTTTACTAATTTACATGTTGATTATCTGTATATAGCAACATAATCTTATGCCTGAAGACAGAGATTATATATATTTACATAACCTAGTTTCTAGGACAAGATGTAGTATCCGTTAGGCCAGCACTCTTCAACAGTATTCTTTGCAGTAATGTGAATTTTTATGTTTGCACAGTACACTTTAGAGATAGGTACTTATTGAGCATATCAAAAGCTGATAATTTAAAATGCTGGGTTTTAATTGTACATAATCTTTGTT